TTTTTGTTAAGTTATTCTTGTTTAAAGTTTTAAAAAAATTTATTAAAAAATATTTGCTTGATTTCTATTGACTTAACTCTATATATTGTTGGTTGTTTTTGATTCTGAATATATTTAACTACTACCCATTCTTTCTTACCAGGTGGGTTTCGATCTTTTAACATTTTTTTGCTTGAATTATTTTCTGGCTTTGGGTGATCACTATATGTTGTTGGTTGTTTTCGATTCTAAATATATTTAACTACTACCTATTCTTTCTTACCAGATGGGTTTCGATCTTTTGACATTTCTTCAGCTTAAATTATTTTTCCAGTTTTGGGTAATCACTATATATTGTTTGTTGTTTTTGATTCTAAATATATTTAACTACTTTTTATTCTTTCTTACCAGGTAGGTTTTGATTTTTTGATATTTCTTCAGCTTGAATTATTTTTCTGGCTTTGGGTGATTACTATATATTGTTGGTTGTTTTCAATTCTGAATATATTTAACTACTACCTATTCTTTCTTACCACTGGGTTTCGATTTTTCAATGTTTCTTTGGCTTGAATTATTTTTTCAGCTTTGGGTGATCACTATATATTGTTAGTTGGTTTCGATTCTGAATATATTTAACTACCACATATTCTTTCTTACCATGTAGGTTTTGATCTTTTGACATTTCTTCAGCTTGAATTATTTTTCTAGCTTTGGGTGATTACTATATATTGTTAGATGGTTTTGATTCTGAATATATTTAACTACCACTCATTCTTTCTTACCAGGTGGGTTTTGATCTTTCGACATTTCTTTGGCTTAAATCATTTTTCTAGTTTTGGGTAATTACTATATATTGTTAGTTGTTTTCTATTCTGAATATATTTAACTACCATTCATTCTTTCTTACCAGGTGGGTTTCGATCTTTCAACATTTTTTCACTTGAATTATTTTCTGGCTTTGGGTGATCACTATATATTGTTAGTTGTTTTTAATTCTGAATATATTTAATACCACTCATTCTTTCTTACCAGGTGGGTTTTGATCTTTCGATATTTCTTTGGCTTGAATTATTTTTTCAGCTTTGGGTGATCACTATATATTATTGGTTGTTTTTGATTTTGAATATATTTAATTATCACTCATTCTTTCTTACCAGGTAGGTTTCAATCTTTTGATATTTCTTTAGCTTGAATTATTTTTCTGGTTTTGGGTGATCACTATATATTGTTAGTTGTTTTTGATTCTGAATTTATTTAACTACCACCCATTCTTTCTTACCAGGTGAGTTTTGATCTTTTAATATTTTTTTGGCTTAAATTATTTTTCTAGCTTTGGTTGATTACAATATATTGTTAGTTGGTTTTGATTCTGAATATATTTAACTATACCCATTTTTTTTTACCAGGTGGGTTTCGATCTTTCTCTTTGATTTCTTCAGCTTGAATTATTTTTCCGGCTTTGATTGATCACAATATATTGTTAGTTGTTTTCAATTCTGAATATATTTAACTATTACCATTCTTTTTTACCAGGTGGGTTTTGATCTTTCTTTTTAATATTTTTTGCAGCTTGAATTATGTTTTCAGCTTTAGAAAATATGTATCAAATTGTAGTAATAGTTGATTTCTTGTTGAATTTATTATAGTTTCTATTTCTGAATAAAATGGCTGATTCGATCTGAATTTGGTTATTAAATTTTTATACATTATATACCAAATATTAGTTAGTAATTGGTAGTTGTTCCTTGTCAAATTTGACATAGCATTCATCTACTGATTGAAATAGCCAATTTGACCTGAATTTGGTTATTAAATTTTTGTATATTATACTGAATATTAGTTAGCAATCAGTAATTAATTTCTTGTCAAATTTGTTATAGCATTCATTCATGATTAAAATAGCTGATTCGATCTGAATTTGGTCATCAAATTTTTGTATATTATATACCAAATATCAGTTAGCAATTGATAGTCAATTTCTTGTTGATTTATTCATAAAATTCAGTATAAAATTGGCTAACTATTTGATAGCTGAATTCAGGTTGAATCAGCCATTTCAATCAGTGATCAATTTTCTTATGTTTGACTAGTGATTTGTTTGTTTTTTTTTTTTAATATTAAAGGTGACCACTTAGGCCATTGGCATGAGATTTATTCTGATAGTTACGATATTACATCAGATTCACGAGGATACAACTAGCCACATATACACCTTTTGAGTATCTAATTTAAGTAGTCCGCCTGGGTTCTACACTGGCCGCCATACCTGCAATCTAACTAGGAGATTACCTATTTAAGCTCTCTGGTTATTACTAACGAGAGTACAACTAGCT